TTTTTTGAAGACGAAACTGTAACGATTCTTACAAGTTATACCCAGGCCTTCCTCGACTATTAATTTAATGGCCTCTGTCAAAAGCTATTCTTTTGCAACATGGTCGACTATTTATTTGAGATTTTCAAAGGTCCACCCCGAAGATACTCCACTGGCCTTAAGCACACAGTTTTGCATTGCAGCATTTTTTTGATCAACGTTTCACTCTGCAGGTTTCAGGGTTTGAGGGAGAAACCGCAACTATGCTTTCAGTACCCGTTTTGGGTTCCTTCAGCATACAAAAGAACATGTATTCGTTTGTCATGACCCACCACAAATGAGCTAGGTTCTTTTTTTGTGTGAACCTCTGAATGGATATTGGTTGCCGACTTCAGGTCTTCTCAATGGCCAGCATGCTAAACCAGAAACGATGGGACACAGCAAAAAAACATTGCTTTGGCACCGGTGGGTTGAAAGTGGATTCAGCCATGCGGGGTGCCCTTGATGCCTTGGTGATGGAACAAGATGTGTGGGAGTCTGGTGCCCACCCCCACTTATGTTTCGCGGATTGCACACTTTAACGCGATCAGAGTTGCAGTCATGCTGAGCTGTGTATAGATTCTGTGGATGACTCACGCAGCAGTTTTCCCGGCCCCGTACTAAGCGCATGTAGCCCAGGGGACATAGTATGGAGTCAAAGTGCATTGTACAAGAAAATCACTTCACTTCCAAGCACACTTTTCTCCCCAATGGCACGGTATTCCAAGCCATCGGTGGCAGCTCGCTGCCGCCATGAAGTGCTGGATCTCCTGGAGGAGATTTTTTTTCCAAAAAGAGTGTGGACTAGCTCTTAGCAGTGCGACCAGGAGTTTTACGATGAGATATTGAGCGCTGAAGGGTTCGTCCGCCGAAGAAGGAAAGAAATCAGAAAGCAACACGACCTCAAAAGCTCGGACACACGTGTCCCATTGCATGCAATCATGCCACACGCGCATGTGTGTATATATGTACGTTGCTACAGTTAATATATACACAGCTTTGTGCATGTGGTTGACCCCCCAAGGCTGTCAAGTTCTCCTTAGTGCACCTGGACAAAGGACAAATCGGAGAGCGACAGGCAACACATTGTTTGAAGTTGTGTTCAAGTATCGATCTATATACTCGCATGTGGCCCCGAGCCTAAAATCCAGGTGGTGTCTGAGACAAATTTTCCGTTGGTCGCGTCCTACTTGGCAACCTTCGTTGGAGAGTTCACTTCAATGCCAAGGGCAGTGGAAGTAGAGGCGCCCAACTATTTAATAGTATTTTTTAAATCTCTTTTGTGCGCAGTGATGTCCATGAGTTCTACTTTGGCATCGCCCCACATGTCCTGTGAGGCAGTGATGTACAAGATGAACGAAAAGTATGCGCTCAACCCTTTCTTTAAACACGACCATGAACGCGAGGTGAGGGTCCTGTGATGCCCTGTGCGCACATGCTAGTGATTCTACCAGCACTGGCGCTGTCAGGCCTGGGCCAGGGTGGAAGCCAATCTCCATCGTGCTTTGGTTTCTTATGCTTGCAACCGCTGGGCCAAAAACAAGGGTGTGAGGCAGGATATGAGTTTGTGTCCTAGTTAAGTTTGTGTATACGCCTTGGTAAAATCGGTAAAATATGGCGTGTCTTCACGTTTGGAGGTCGCAATCATCATGCCGTCAAATGGCGCAGCTGAAAGAAATTATCCAGAAGAAATACGAGGATTCTATGCGCACTTGTGTATAACGACTACTTTTTTAGAACTTAACTGATTGCCATAGATCTTTGAGGACAAAGATAAGCTTGCTGCAGACGGAAAGAAAATACCAGAGCGTGGACGCTTCGCGAAGAAGGACACTAGCTATGTTTGCAAACTAGGCCACGACAAGTCCTATGCAGAAAGCGTGTCATATATACGCATGCGCGCACTGTTTTTGCTAGGATTCAGCAAGCTCTAGCGTGACTGAGCTCGAAGTTGATCTACATGACGAGGCAGGCCATGCACACAACAATTGCCGGTTAGTTTGCGGTCGTCTGGTCGGGAGACTGTGGAAGTCATTGAGCTCCATGACAGCCCAGTGACAACTGAGGAGGATAATGAACAGAGTGAGGGGGAGGAAGCAAGCTCCGGAGAGAAAAAGAGGGAGGCAGAGGAAGCGAGTGAAAGTCATGCAAAGGCAGAAAGGAATGCAAAGAGAAAGAGTAAGGCAGAGGAAGAGCAAGAGGCAGAGAAAGAGAGCAAGGCACAGAAGAGGAGTGAGGCAAAGAAAGGTAAAACACATGAGAGTCAGGCAGAAGAAGAGGAAGAGAGTGAGGCAGAAGAAGAGAAAGAGAGTGAGGCAGAAGAAGAGAAAGAGCGTCAGGCAGAGGAAGAGGATGAGGCAGCGAAAGATAATGCGTCACAGGGAGAGGGTGAGGAAGAGGCAGAAAAAGAGTGTGATGAAGAGGTGGAGGTAGAGAAGGAATCTCCAGACAACCAATTAGGCCTAGAAGAGGAAGGGGAGGAAATGCTCAAAAGCTTGGAGGACCTGATGTGTTCGGTTTTGCGTTTCTTTCGCGATGCATACCGTGCGTGTCAAAGTGCGCTTAAGTTCTAGAATTGTGGTGTGCTTTACATAAGTAGGACGAGCTGGGGGAAGGCGATGAGGGTGCATTTGCCTACAAGGAGAACACAAACGCAAGAGTACAAAAATCACATAATTGACCTATGTAGCTCTCCACATGTTTGTTTGGTTGGGGCAGGATCGAAAACCCTTGACTGCTAACCCGCCACGGTTGGATGACGACCTTGAGAAGCACGCGCTTGAACTGGAGCGAAAGCTTTCCAGCTCATTTGCAAACGACCGCTGCCACGATATCCGAAAGGTGCGTAGAACAGTCATCTACTAGCTAGCTCATGCCATTTGTTGGACATATTTTTCTAATAGATCGATGAGTAGATCTTATAATTAATTACCTGTGACGTGTTGCTGCGAGGCTCAAAAGGTTGTAAGAAAGGCGATAAAGAATGGTGAGGCTGATCCAAACAAAGAAGGTGATGAGGTTGAAGAGGTTGAAGACTGCGATCGCGAGTATAGAGACAACCAGAGTGAGGAGGATAGGGAAGCGAAGGGGGAGGTTCCCAAGCGTGGCCGTGGCCGTGGCCGCGGCCGCGGCCGTGGCCGTGGCTGCTCACGCGGCAAAGGCCGAGGTCGAGGTCGTGGCCGTGCAGGTTCTCAGAAGGGTCAGATCAAGGAGAAAACGAAGCCAACCAAAAAGAAAGAGGAAAAGGTGCAGGTGAAGAAACGGTCAAGGCAGGCCGAGGCCGAGGAGAAGGAGACAACAAAGGGGAATGCATCAAAAAAGAAGAAGGAGGCACTCCCCGAAGATTCCGTGGAGGCAGCGCCTGCGTCAATATATATAACTTATATACGCGTGTCATATATTCATGTTGTGTGGTTGCTTGCTCCACCGTACTCAAGCTGGCCAGTTTTTGTGACATATTTTATAATTATGTTTGATCTTGTTCGTCTGCAAGCATATGTGCACATGTATAGATCGATGGGCTTCAACAAACTGGCAACAAGTATATCATGGGCCCCGTTCCGAGCTGTGCGCCAGCCAACCAGTCGATTTGAAGCGCAAACCAAATCTAGTCCACACTAGTTTAAACGCGTATATAGCTAATTAAAGCATTCGATTTGCTAGCTCGCAGGTTCAAAATTGGAGACGTCTCGACCGCGTGGCGGCTACCTGCCAGTTCATGAAGTCTGGCCGTCCAGCACTGCCGCTCTTCCAAAGGCGCATACCTGGGCACTGGTATGATGACTTTGCTCCCACTCCTTTGTCGACCCCCAATCCCAACGTGTGGCACAGGTCTTTCACATTGAAGCCTCCACCTGAATCTGAAACCGATCGTCCCTCATCCATTGGTGTGTTGCTGGGAACTCAGCTTTAAAAAGAAATTGCTCGTGTACATGGCCACACCTTGGTCCCATATGCGGAGGCTTTCCACAGCTGGCTATTACGTCTACACCGTGGACGTGAAAACGCTCGACAAGCTGAACGCTGCTGAAAAGGAAGAGTTGAAGGCCTTGAGCGCACCTGTTTGGCCTAATTATCTTAACTAGCTCTAGGCCCTAGGCATCAACCTAGATTCGAAGCACCATATATCTGCCACTTCTAGCTATAGGGGAACCAAGGTGCCAAACCCCAAACAGTTCCCAACATCTTCCTTCTTGGATCTCCATCGCCAGGTTGACAAGAAGGGGGGATGCTCAATCTATTGGCGCACACACCATGGCCCACTTTATCCGCCAGGACCTCACTCACACGTTGTACAGTGATCTATTAAAGCCAAATTGCACGCAGTCTCGATTGAGTTCCACCGCTGCCCAGGTGGAAGTTGGCCGTTTTCGCTGCCGGCTGGGGAGACGTCGAGAGCTTGGTTCCTCCGGAGCCAGAAGACGTCGATTAATTCGGAGCCCCTTGAACCTTTAAGATTTTTGCAGGGACGCTTCGACCATGCGTTGCAGGATGTTGCAGGATTGGTCAAAATATTTGACGTTCTACTGTGCTGAGCTTTGTGCTTTGTTGAATTGGCAGTCTTGCACATTGTGGTCACTTTGCATGTGCCATGTGTGATGAAGCTCCAAAAAA